CGTGCAGTGCGGGAATGAGTGTGTGTGTGAGCATGTGTGCACACGCGTGGATGTGTTAGAGTTGTAGATCTGCATTACAGATATACCTGATTCCTTTCTGAGCCATCAGAGCGCCCCACATTCATTCAAAATACTTGACAACAAACAGAACAGCTTTACTTTCCCAAGCACTTTCTTGATTCATTTGGTAGAATGTGGCTGGAAGCTGAAGGACGCTTTATTATAAAGCCCCTGTTAAAGGTGTTTGGGGGAGATAACCTAAAGCATTGATTTCATATCCCATTCCAGACCCTGTGTTATCTGAGTCAGTTTTTAGAGCCTATGTATAATGACCATATTTTCCTTTTCAAATGTTTCTGCAGACAGTCGCCATCAATGATTTTAAGACGCCCTGTCTTACTTTCTAGCACCACAAATAACTACATTTTTCTTTTCCTTCGCCTGGAGTATCTTCCCTGTTCCTTCTGTGGCAGGTCCTTTACCACAGCATCCCTACATGAACTGGAGCAGCTCCGGAAGCCTCTTTGGTTTCTAATAAAGGAAATCTTATGCCAGGGAGGGTTGTAAGGATGAGGGTTTTGTTATGCAATTGCTGGTTATCAGAGACCTTTTAGAAACTATTTCTTCTCACTAAAGCTCCTTCATACTAGGAAGCTCTAGAACAGGAACAAATAGAATTAAAGTCAACATACTTTAAGGAGAATGAGTCAAGTGTCCCTGACTGCTGAGTCCACATGTAAGGTGGGGTAAGTATTAGTTAAAGTACTCGAACACCTTTCATCTCAGCTTCAGAGTGGAAAATGGAACTGTGCTCTCAAATATGTTTGTGCATTGAATGATCTCCATTCCTCACAGAGGCTAGGATTAGTGGCTTAATCTGAGTTTCAAGTAGATGATGATATGTAATTTCAAAGAAAAATACACATAACATAATCTATTGCTAATCAAAGTCACTATGGAAAAGGCCCTTAGAAAGGATGAGGACTTGGGATCTAAGCTGGTAGCTGGGTTGATAGTGGTGCTGGTAACCTGAAATGGAAATCTAGAGCAAGTAATTGAGGATTCATAATGGTTTTCGTTTAAATAACAGCTCCTCAGATTGTATGAAAAATACAACTTAATTTGTACAACCTAAGTTTACTACCAACTTTGCAGAATATGTTTGTGGCACTGTGTCTTTGTTTTCTTGGGAATAAAAATTCTATTTCTACCTTAAAAAGAAAGACTCCTAGCTGAGACTTCTCAAGTGGTAATGCTTTCACAACTCAGAAAGTTTACTTCCATTAAATCAAAGGCATGTGAAAGCATTGTCATGGGAAAAATGATAATTGGGGATAAAAATGCCAATCTAATTACTTTAAACCTCTAACATGTTAGATAGAAATACAGTTATTGGTGATTTATGAATAATTAGAATTTATTTTCCTTTTTGGAGGAGGCACATTTGACAGTGTCAGGTAGAAGAATGCAGAAGAAATTATTCTGCAGAATGGCCCCTTTTGTTTGCTTCCTGTGGGTATGCAGAAGTCCCCTCCTAAGTTATACTTGAGCTCACCATGTCGGGAGAGTCCTTTTAAGATAGGAACTCAAGAGAATGATGGCTCACTGCTTGTTACCTCTTAAAAATTATACATTAGGGCACAAAATTCATGTGGTTCCCAGATTCACCTTCAGGAGGCTACAAAATTAAACATTAGGCTTGGTCTACACAGTCACTCCATATTTTCAAGAAAGCTGAATTACTTCTCATTATTGGGAAAGGAAAATTACCTCACCAATTACAGATATAGGCCGTGTTTTTAATAATTTATATTTGAATAAATGAATTCCATGTTTATCATTTCATTTAAGCTCTAAAACAACCCTATAAGGCAGCTTGTGCTTATTATACCCAATTTATTCATGAAGAAGCTGAGGTTCAGAGCAAAGTAGCATACCCAAGGCCACAGAAAGGGGTTTTCTGACTGTGAGCCCGGTGTTTCTCCCACAGTGCCCTTACTACCTCTCTTAACCCCGTCATGATGTTAGCTTATCTTCTGACATCAGTAATCTAGAATTATGCCATGATTTTCTATTTTTGCATCCCCTTTTTCCAATCACAAATGAAAAGAAACTTCAACTCCCTATGAGTTAATTATATTCCCAAACAGTTGGGTGACCAGTCTCCAGTTGGTGTTTTAGGACTATCATGTGCATAACTGTAGTGCTGGGTCCATTTTCAGGTAAATAATAGCTAAGACTTCAGAGAGTTTTCAGTGCTCTCATTTTACTTTCTGACTGCCATCAAAGAAGAATGGAACCCCAAAGTTTTTCTCTTGCAGTTTTTCTTTTTGCCACAGGACTCAAAGGTAGATCACATGAGACTCCTGTCTTCCTCTTTGTTCAGTAACCACACTGCAACCAAGTAACACAAAACTGGAGATTGGTTTACACAAAAGAACAAGAAAGGTAGATCAAAACATAAAGCGCAAATGCTAATGAAGCTTTCCCATCTCAGGGTTAAAGCCACAACATATATAAAACGTGCAGAGATTTTTGTACGTGTGAAAGAAATGCAAGGAATTATTGTCTCATATAATTCAACAGACCTCAAAATGTCTGTTAAAGTAAAGAAAGGTGGTGTGGTCTGCTCGGATTTCTTGGCTTCGTTACAGAAAGGAAAAGCCATTTTATTCCATGCTTGTGGCTTTGATACCAGAGATTTTCATATTTCTACTGATCGTATCACAACAGAACAGAGGACTTGATAAACTGAATGTAGGTCAAAGTATTACATTATGTTGTGAGCCACATATCGAGGCAAATACTTAGACTTTTACAAAGATGAAAATGTACAATTGGCCCACCATTATCAGTTTGCCAGCTCTTACATGTGCAGTAAAATGCTCATTTTCTTTGATTTTATCCATGTTACTCATATATAGTGCAGTCATGAACAATTAAATTATTTTTTAAATGTTTTCCTTTTTTCTCATACATCATCAGAAATTAATAATCCTCTTTGTCAGTATTAGCAGCAGTAATACCTTATTGTAATTTATTCTGTAAAACATGGAGATTACAAAACAGTGTGTCTCAGCTACAACAGCTGATCACTTGATCAAAATAATCATTTAAATGGCTTTAAATTCCAAATTCTCCTCTGGATTCCTGGTAGAATTGAACTTGGAAAACTTAAAGGGGCCTTGGAAGAGTAACGTTAAAATAGAATAAGACCAGATATTTATATAATGTTTCAGGGGAAATAGTTTGATCTGCATGTTTGGAAGGGTTGTAGAAGATGATATTTTATTCTATGTATACTATTAAAACTTTTTAATATGGAAACTTTTAAAAATATACAGAAGTTAAGAGAATAGTACAATAAATCTCCATGTACTTATCATCCAGTATCAGCAGTTATCAACATATGGCCAAACTTGTTTCATTTTTACCTCCCATTTTGTCCCTCAAGATAATTTGGAAGCAAATCCTAGGCAGCATATCATTTCATCCATAAATATTTCAGTAGGTAGAAGATGGGATTTTAAATGGGATTTTTGCCATTAATGTGACTTTGTTAGAGAAATTCGTTATAGAAATTTGGGGAAGTGTTTTTGATTAACTAATGGATGGATGTGGTGCTGAGTGGATGTGACCTGGGTGCTGAGAAATAAGATTGGTTTCCTGGGATGGGGCCACAGGATAGGGGAGATCTTAAAGGGGTCACATGGTTTCTCCTTGCCACTTACAGTAAAATGTGAGAGGAAAGAGATGGACTTAAAAATTAACTGTGCAAAATGAAAACAGAACTTAAAGATTTGGAAAATTCTTTTGTACAAATTAAGGACAGGTGTTCTAGAATTTTCACCACAGACGTGGCTACACAATCTTTTGTTAAAGAGATTAAACGTGTGACCAATGGCTCTAACCAACTACCACAGCAGAAAATCCATCAGCTTAGGCTGAAGGGGACAGAGAAAGAACGAAAAGAAAGAACACTGTCTGCCTGTTGGAATTCCACAGGAGGGAAGCAGGCCAAAGGAGCTAAGTCTGTTGTCCTCCAAGAAAAGAAAAGGACCATCCCTGGAGCAGCTCGGATATCACCAGAACTGTTGGAAGGAGCACGGGAAGCAGAGACTTCTCAAAGTATGGGGCCATGGTCTCCTGGATCTCAAAGGGTGGGGTCCCTGCCTCCTAGGTTTCAAAGAGTTGAATGTTCGCCAGCTCGGGTCGGGAGTGTGGGGCTGTTGTTAGGTGTGCTGGGGGAATGGGGCCACCACCCAAAGCTGAGGGGGGCAAGGCTGCCTCAGAATGGGGCCTACTGGGGCTGAGAGGATGGGGTTACCACTCAGATGGACTAGGAGAATGGGGCCACTCAAAGCCAAGGGAGCAGAATCACTGTCCCAGTGGGCCTGGAAGGCAGAGCTGAAGTTCAGGGCTGAGGGGCCTCCACCCAGAATCCAGGGGGCATGGCCAGCACCCAGAGTCTGGAGGGCAGGACCTTAGCAAGATGGTCTCAAGAGAAGAGAGAATTATTTTCAAGGCGTGAAAGCTAATGGAATTTGTTCAGCTGGGTTTTACACTTGCTGGGTGCCTGTTATCCCTTCTTTCCCTCCATTTTTTCCCATTTGTAATGGAAATGTCTACCTTGTGCCTGTTCCACCATTGTGGTTTAGAAACAGATAACTTATAATCTAGATTTCACCAGTTCACAGATGAAGAGGAATTTTGCCCCAGGATGGGATAGGCCTAAATTCTCACCCATATTTGATTTAGATGTTTCAGAATATGGGATTTTGGACTTGGAGTTGATTTAAGACTTTTGGATGATGTGAAGGGGTAAATGTTTTACATGTGTCAAGGACATGAATTTTTGTGGGCCAAAGAGTGAAATGTTATGGATTGAATTACATCCTGAAAAATTATGTGTTGTAAATCCTAACCTCTGTGCCTGTGGTTATAATCCCATTTGGGAATGGGTTATGTTTATTATGTTAATTAGACAGGATTAGGGTGTATTTTGAGTCAGTCTCTTTTGAGATATAGAAGAGATTAAACAAGCAAGCGAGAGAAGCAGAGACAGGGAAGAGACCTGTTAAGCCACATGAAGATCTCCCAGGAGCAGAAGCTCAGAAGAGAGAAGGACCTTCCTCCAGAGCCAAAAGAGAGCGAGAGAAAGCCTTCCCCTAAAGCCGGCACTCTGAATTTAGACTTTTAGCCCCCTAAACTGTGATAAGATAAATTTATGTTTGTAAAAGCCATCCACTTGTGGTATTTCTGTTAGAGCAGCACTAGATGACTAAGACAGGTGGGTAGGGTGGGAGTGGGTTGAGGAAGACCTAGAAAGTTAATTTCTTTCTAAAGTTTCAGATACTCCCTTAGAGTGCCCCAGGAGCTATTTATTGTGGCCACCCTAAGGAGGGAACTGAAAATATGCCCATAATTGACATGGGATGTGGTGAAACCACTGGTTGGTTTTCATCCTCATTAATGAATTTCATTATGAAAGGCAAAATCACTTTGTGAATGTAAATTAGAATAGAAAATGGAAATTCCCTATACACTCTCTAATCAGTATGAAACTTAAGACAAAGAAGCTTTATTTTTTAACCTTGAATTTACTGTAAATTATGTGCAAAAACCAAATTCAGAATATCTTGAATAGGTTAGGGCCATGCCAGGCATTAGCTATTATATTAAACTTTTTTTTTAAATTGTGCTTTCAGTGAAAGTTTACAGCTCAAGTTAATTTCTCATTCAAAAATTTATACACATATTGTTTTGTGACATTGGTTGCAATTCCCACAGTGTGACAGCACACTCTCCCTTTCCACCCCGGGTTCCCTGTGGACATTTGTCCAGTTCCTGTCCCTTCCTGCCTTCTCATCCTGCTTTTGGACAGGAGCTGCCCATTTGGTCTTGTATATTTGATTGAACTGAGAAGCACATTCCTCACCTGTGTTATTTTTTGATTTATAGGCCTGTGTAATCTTTGTCTAAAGAGTGGGCTTCGGAAATGGTTTCAGTTCTGGGTTAACAGAGCGTCCAGGGACCATAGTTTTGGGGGTTCCTCCGGTCTCTGTCAGACCATTAAGTCTGGTCTTTTTACATGAATTTGAATTCTGTTCTACATTTTTCTCTTGCTCTGTCCGGGACTCTGTTGTGTTCCCTGTCAAGGCAGTCACTGGTGGTGGCCGGGCGCCATCTAGGTCTTCTGGTCTCAGGCTGGTGGAGGCTCTGGTTCATTTGGTCCTTTAGTCCTTTGGGCTAGTGTTTTCCTTGTGTCTTTGGTTTTCTTCATTCTCCTTTGCTCTGAGTGGGATGGGACCAATAGATGTATCTTAGATGGTCGCTTGCAAGCTTTTAAGACCCCAGACGCTACCCACCAAGGTGGGATGTAGAACATTTTCTTTATAAACTATGTTATGCCAGTTGACCTAGATGTCCCCTGAAACTATGGTCGCCAGGCTTATATTAAATTTTGAAGAACTTTGTGATCCTAGCACTAATGGAGTTCTTGGTGTGAGAGTTTGATAACTAACATCTAGAGTCTGTGGATGCCGGCACACTCCGGAATGCGTGCTGTTTTCAGTACAGATCGATGGCAGAGGATCACAGTGTAGATTGCACAGGGCACTCTTCCCATTTTCTGTAGGCTGTCTTCATTTGAAGGCAAAAACATGTCCAGTGGAATTTTAAAAATGAGCTGCAAACTCAGTGTTTAGTATAGGTTAATGACATCTGGGACATTGTTGTTTCCAACACAAAAGTTCAGTGAAAACTCCTCCTGAAGAAAAACTTAAATGTTTAGAGAATATGTAGTGGCCCTAACTATCTTCTGAACCTACCTCTCTGTCGTGGATTGAATTGTGTCCCCCAAAAATATCTGTCAACTTGGCTAGGTCATGATTCCCAGTATTGTATGATTAGCTACCATTTTGTCATCTGACGTGATTTCCCTGTGTGTTGTAAATCCTATCACTGTGATGTAATAAGATGGATTAGTGGCAGTTATATTGATAAGGTCTACAAGATTAGATAGAGCCTTAAGCCAATCTCTTTTGAGATATAAAAGACAGAAGTGAGCAGAGAGACATGGGGACCTTATGCCACCAAGAAGCAGTGCCAGGAGCAGAGCGCATCCTTTGGACCTGAGGTTCCTGTGCTAAGATGCTTCCAGACCAAGGGAAGATTAATGCGTCACAAGGACCTTCCTCTAGAGCTGACAGAGAGAAAGAAAGCCTTCCCCTGGAGCTGGCACCCTGAATTTGGACTTCTAGCCTCCTAGATTGTGAGAGCATAAACCTCTCTGTTAAAGCCATCTGCTTGTGGTATTTCTGTTACAGCAGCCCTGGATGACTAAGACACTGTCTGTTCTCTCTAAGTGAAGACAGACTCTCGTGTTTGTGGTTAAAGACGGCGGAACACTTCTGCTGTGTAGAAGCTGTCTTCACACTGGGTTTGGTTAGTCTGAGCATTTTGACCTATATTCTAGTTTTGTCACCACCAACTCATACCGTCACCAAAAAAAAGAGATTATAAAGAAATTAAAATGAAGTAAAAATGCTAAACATGTAATGTTTCGAATTAACAATCATAGGTTTATTTTTTTTTGAAAAACATTTTAATAGTAAAACAATGGTTAAGCTGTTCTGCGTTGTCTTGAATTATATGGAACTATATCTAGTTCATTCATATATGCTAGCTTTAGAGAACAGATTCTGTTATTAGCAGTTTGTTTTTGTGGTTGACAGATCAATAAAATGAAAACAAACACTCTAAATTTTGTATTATGTGTTTTTATCTAAAACTAAACATTTTTACTTTGGAATCCAGTGCTATTTAACATGTAATAGAGTAATAAGAAGTAAAGTATGATTAAAATGACTTTTTTTTTGTTTTTCATTTAAACAGTACACATTTTGGAACTTCATACCCAAGAACTTATTTGAACAATTCAGAAGAATAGCCAACTTTTATTTTCTTATCATATTTCTGGTACAGGTAAGTCTGATCATCTTTTTCTATCTCATAAATGATGTTTTGCAGTCTTGTAAAATATAAATTTTAATAAGTAATATTTTGTTCTCACGTAATTGACATCTAACTTGCTAATAAAAAAGGAGCAAGGACTTGAGGCCCTTTATTCACATTTATTTTTCATGTAATTCGTTTTTTAAAGGAGAAAATATGTTGGTGTTGTGAGACCTTGATGAGCTTAAAACATAAGCAGTCACTTTGTGTTTAAGTTGGTTTTGGCCTCCTTTCTGTGCTCATCATCTCTTCAGGACTGGAAAGCAAATCAAAAACTTCCTAATTTTTAGAATGAACCCAGGAGCTGAGCTAAGCATCATTACACTTATTCTCTTCCTAAGTGTGAGTGGATCCTGCAAAAAAAATCCAAAGAAGCTACACATTTAAAAAAATAAGAGAGAATGAAAATCACAGCAGGGATATGATAGTTAGGAAACAATAGGTCGGAAGTATTTTGAGAACAGCAGTGTAAGTTTTCTCAATCACATAAAATAAAGTAGAAGGACTTTTTTAACTCCCCAAACACTTCAGTACCCAAATAATGTAATTAAAGTGTGATCCAGAAGCTGAGTAGTAAATTTTTAAAGTAATATACACTGGAATCAGACTTGGACCTTTCCATTCCTAATGCTGAATTTACCTCTGTTGTTAGCATAAAGTGAGTGACAGTTATTAAGGTGTTTAAAATAAGTAAAAGCAAATGCTAGGTGGTGGTATGACGTGGGAAGCCAGTCTGTCTAAGTCTCTAATACTTATTTTTGAAAATGATTCTATAATTCTCTTCTAATTGCAGTTGATTATTGACACACCCACAAGTCCAGTAACAAGTGGACTTCCACTGTTCTTTGTCATCACTGTCACAGCTATTAAACAGGTAAGAAATTTAAAAATAAAAAGGAAGGAAGTCAGAATCTTTATTATGTGACGTCCCTTTCATTCCAAGCAAGGTAATCGGATTTATTTTAGCTAGTTGATAGCAAATTTAACTAGGTTCCAGAAATTCAGTTTTGTAACTCTTTGTGATTGATCCTTGAGTTAAAATAAGAGGATTTATATCATGTGGTGGCTAGTGTGGTGACCTTTGAGTGAGAGACGGAAGCTGTGTTTCTCACTTTCTTGAATCAACGGGAGCTGATCTCTGGCTTTAGTTGAGTCGTTTAACCAGTTGGTGCCCTGGTCTGTCTTGCCCACAGGCTATGCTACCTTACAGACGGTCTAGAAATAGAAAGTTAATCAGCATGCTAATGTCCCCTGACTCATTTATACTTTTCAAATGTGGGTCTTATTTTTTAATCTAGTCCTGATATGAATAAAGCCAGTGACTGACACTAAGAAGACTGCATCTCAGTTATTTCCATTATTCGTTGAGCCAGTTAAATTTCAGATCCAAGGAGCTTGGGCTAAGTTAGGTGAAGCTCCTTTTCTGTGTGGAATGAACCTGGGAGATAATCTCTGAATGTGTCGGCGATGCCTGGGCGTTGACATATGAGACCTCCCCCAAAAAGACACCAATGTGAACAGGAACAATGGTGTTTCCCTAGCTCACACATCTCTCCTTAGCAACTGCCCAGGGTTTTCTGAACCAGAGATTCTCCAGCCCAGACTTTCTTGTTTCCTTAGTTTGATTTGCCCCGTGGGTGTGCTCTTGTTAGGATCAGCACCTCCTGTGTGGGCTCTGAGCCGCTTCCCTAGGGCAGAGGAGGTGATGGTATCGCTCTATAACAGGGATTGACGAGCTGTGGCACTTGGCCAAATCCAGCCCAATGTCTGTTTCTGTAAATAAAAGTTTTCTTGGAACATAGCCACTCATTCATTACGTATAGTCTACAGCTATTTTCACACTACAATGGCAGAGTTGAGTGGTTGTGACGGAGGCTGTATGTTCACAAAGCCTGAACTCTGACTCTCTGGCCCTTTACAGAAAAATTGGTTGACCCCTGCTGTAGAGTATGAAGCACTTTTCCGCAAGAGAGGGGTTAATTTGAATGACAAAAAAATGAAACTGGTTGCTTTGTCTCCTAAATTAGAAGGAAAATGCCATCATTGTTACTTCAGACCTTTGTCTTTGTTTTTAGTTTATTTTTTCTTAAGTGTACAATTCAGTGGCTGTGCAGTTACCACCATCCGATTCCAGAACGCTGTCATCACTGCAGAAGGAAACTCCCTTGTATACAGCTCTTTTCGTACCTTGTTTTCATTCTTTTGTGTCCTGAGAAATAGTATGGAGAACAGCTTACTCATCATCTTTAAATTTAAATGTACTTTCATTTCTAGCAAAACCTAAATAGAAATGCACCTTAATGAATTTAGAAAACTTTTACAAACTGTATTGCCTAGTTTTACTTTTTTCAAAATACTGTGCTAAATTCTTGAACCAAAAGTGGGTGTTTTCTCATATCTGGGAATTTTCAGAGGAGGGCCACTTTAAATCTTGTAAAGCTAGTGGAGAGAATTGAATTTATGTATATACTCCTGTTTAAGGCAAAAGGATTTAGCAGAGTTATTAGTTATAAGAATAAGGTGAGGCCGCTTTCCAATGTATTAACCAGTGTCTGAATTTAGATAAGAACAGCTGATAATTGATCATTGTCAATGTCTTAGAGTAATAAAACGATAGGTGCATGGAAGATGGTGCGGCTGCTGCAGATGTCAGTGAATGGAGGCAGCTTACTAAGAGTCTGGGCTGACAGAGATGACTGAGACATACGTTAAGGGAAGTAGATAGGCTCTCTCGTACTTTTTCAAGGTAAAACGTTTCAGTTCTGCTTGCGGAAATATAACTGGTGCTAAGTTTCTTGAGGGCTTTTTGGCATTTCACATTAGAAGCCTAAAGCCCGTGGCCACTGAGTCATTTCCGAGTCATTGCGACCTATAGGACAGAGTAGGACTGCCCCATAGGGTTTCCAAGACTGTAAATCTCTACAGAAGCCGACTGCCGTATCTTTCTCCCACGGAGCAGCTGGTGGGTTCGAACCACTGACCTTTTAGTTAGCAGCTGAGCACTTTAACCACTGTGACACCAGGGCTCCTAAAATCCTAAAAAGTGTTGCTTATCTTTTGACCCAGACATTTCTTTTTTTTAGGAATTTATCCTAAGGACATAATCATGGATATCCATGAAAATATAGTTATAAATGTTTGTCAAAGTGTACATACAACTGCGAAAATTTAAAGCAAACCAAATGTCCGAAAATTAGGAATTGGTTAAATAAGTTATGATACATTTGTATGATAAAATACTGCGAAGCTATAATATAGAAACATTGTTAATAATTCGGGAAAATGACCATGACATATCAGGGGTACAAAGTAGAATTATGTGTGCAATGTGATCGTAATTTTGAGAGCGTATACTCCCCTGCAGGCTAGAATTGCTCTTACATGTAACTAGAGTTATATTTTCTATATTAACTGTTTATCTGTTACTGTTGGAGGTAGTTTTTACTAATTGACAAGACTAGGATTGTTTTTATTTGGGGGTTAGGAAGGTCACTTATATATATTTTCTAATTTTGCCCCCAGAACATCTACTTTTTTGTAATACAAAAGATAAAATCTACTTTTGAAAAGTTATTTTTGCTTCTTTTACTTATTTCTTGATTTTCTTCTCAGAAATTTATCTTCTTGCACTGAGTTGCAAAGTGATCATCCCCCCCACCCCACCCATAAAAAAGAAAAAGAAAGAAGGGTCCAGAAACACTGGGTCCAGAACACAATCCGGCCAATAGTTAGAAAAATATTTTTCTTTCTCAATTCGTGCATTATAAGTATTCTAAGTTTTCTGGATTTGTTTATTTATTCTGCAGCTATTGAACATGTACCATGTACTGAGTCTTTTTCTAGGCCCTAGAGGTAATAACCGTTTAAAAAGGCGGAACATTCCTCCCCTTCACATCCTACTGAGAGAGACTGTAACGAAGTAACAAGTAAGCGTATAATGCAACATCAGGTAGTGATGCCTGCTATGGAGAACAGCAAAGAAGTTTAGGGAGAGGGTGTTGGCAGACGTGCGACTGACGTATACAAGATGGTGAAGGCTTCTCTGAGAAGAACGTTTGATCAGAGAACCAAATGAAGTGAGGGGTGAGCCTGAGAGCAGGCAAAGAAGGAAGGGCGAGACTTTCATGGATGAGGAAGAACAGGTACAGAGTCCCAGAGGTGGAAGGAAACCCACTGGACGTGTTGGAGCAGAGCCTTCACCTGGTGTCCGACCCGCTGAGCGTCAGGCTTGCTGATACACTGGTGTGCTCAGCCCTGCTGCCAGCTGAGCAGGGCCTGGGGCCTCATCACAGAGTCCAGGCCAGTGGTCCCTGGCAGTAAGCAGCCTTGTATAGTAACCCCAGTTACTACAAAATTACCACGTGTCCTGGCACAAAAAAAAAGTTTGGGAAGCACCATTTTACATTTTATTCCATTACATGGAATTTTTTATTTTTAGGGTTATGAAGACTGGCTTCGCCATAAAGCAGACAATGCAATGAACCAGTGTCCTGTGCACTTCATTCAGCATGGCAAACTTGTTCGCAAGCAAAGTCGAAAACTGAGAGTAAGTAATAACTGATACAGTTAACTTGTTCAAGACCAATAACAGTTTTACTGTCTTCAACAAAATACGTTGTCTGAATTTTAGAATTGTTGTGAGGTCATGCCAGCCAATCAAGACAAGGAAAGCCCAAAACAATTTTTGAAGATGTATTTTAGAATAAGGTAAAATCATGTTTCTATAAATTGCGCTCACTGGAAATTTATGAAAATTGGGACAGAAACCTCACTGAAGGTTGCATTTTAATATTTTAATTGTTAATATAACTACTATATCATTATATATTTAAATGTCTTTAAATTATTTAAGTGAATTCTTTTCAAACCTATACTGACAACTAAGAAGCATCTACATATGTGCAAATGAATATGATTTTTAAAATTTGTCTCCCAGAGTAATGTTTAACAGCCTATTTCAGTCCATAAACTGACTGTGAACTTATGAAGCCCCAGCCGTCTTCTGCCTTCTTGGTCCATGCAGTGTTCACCTTCCTGTCAAATGCCTCATCTCCCATCGGCTGCTTTCCTGGTCAGAAATTGTTGGGGAGGAATCAGAAGTTCTAGTAAGTGAGCATTGCTAGCCCTGGTGTACACTTACAGAGAAGAGTCCCCTCTCTTTTTCTTCAGAACCAAAGACTCCACTTTCAGGAAACGTTCATGAATCAATGGAGAAGGAAGAGGCATCCTCTAGTCCCCCCAGCCAACCCTGGTGGTCATTGAGAATCTCAGGACGTAGCCAGGAGCACCTCACTTTGGAGAAGGGCAGATCCAGGATATCATGATTTACTAGGGCCTATTCACGTATGCCCTTTCAGAAAATCCACATCATGTACATCTAGTTCATGTTTGTTAACCTACTTCCAGTTATTACATGCTTTGTACGTATTATTTGAGCCCTGGTGATGTAGTGGTTAAGGGCTCGGCTGCTAACCAAAAGGTCGGCAAGTTCAAATCCACCAGCCATTCCTTGGAAATCCTGTGGGGCAGTTCTACTCTGTCCTGTAGGGTCACTATAAGTCAGAATTGACTGGATGGCAATGGGATATATTATTATATTATTATAGATAAGTTTTAAATGTCATTTATTTTTGTGTTATAAATTTTATTACCCAGGTGTTTTAATAATTCTGAATGAGCTTTCCCTCAATTAGTTCAGACTGATGATGTTTTACTATGATCTTATGACGAGTCTCATTGCTGTTGAGGCCATTGTCCAGAAACATGGAGTCTGAGCCGTCAGGGGCCAGGAGGAGATGTGACACGCAGCCATGTGACCTACAGGTTGGGACACCGTGTACATGTCAACAGCATCTTTAAATACCCTGCCAGATTTTCCAGCAGTCTTCTTAATGATGACATTTTCTTTGCAAAGTCTTCTACGTTTTTAGATAAACATCTCTTTTCTTAAAAACAGACCTCAAAAAATCTGCCAGCAGGAAATTGAATTTTTAATATAGCCATCTCCTATAGGAAATGTCTACTTTTGTATCCTGTATATTCTAAACAAGAGGATTTTAAATTTATTATGTGAGAAAAGAAAAAAAAAAGGGAAAGATTTTTCCAACATCTCTAGGCATTTGAGTTTCATCACCTTAATGACTCACCTTTAGAAGGTGCTAGAGGGTCTGAAAAAAAGTAACCTTTTGTTTTGTTTTTCCTTTTTAATTAAACTTTTCATTTGAACATCATCGTAGATTCCCGTGCAGTTGTAAGAAGTATACAGGTACATCTCATATACCTTTTATCTCCAGTCTTGTAAAACACTAGTACAGTATCACAACCAGGAAACTGTAATGAACAGAGTCCATCAGTCTTCTGCAGGTATCATCAGTTTTCCATGTGCTCACTTATGTGCGTCTGTGTGTGTTTAGTCCATGTGATTTTATCACGTGTAGGCTTATTCATGCACCCCACATTCAAGGTACAGAAGAGTCCCATCCCCACAAGGGTCCTTCCTGTTGCCCTTTTATAACTGTATCTATCTCCTTTTCCTCTCTTCCCCCAACTGCTATCTCTAACCCTGACAACCATTAATCTGTTGTCAATTTATAGGATTTTGTCATTTCAAGAACGTGATTGTATGAATGGAATTGTACAGTATGTAACCTTTTGGGATTGACTTTTTTCACTGACATAATTCCCTCAAGGTTCATATAAGCTGTGTGTATCAATACTCTGTTCCTTTTTATTACCGAATAGTATTCCATGGTATGGATGTGCCACAGTTTAACAGTTCACCAGTTGAAGGACATTTAGGAATTTTCCAGTTTGGGGCCATTGCAAATAAAGCTGCTATGGACATTTGCATACAGGTTTTTGTGTGAATATCCTTTTCATTTCTGTGGACTAAAAGCCCGAGAGTTCAACTGCCGATTCGTATGGTCAAATCCGTTTTTAGTTTTCAGAGAAATTTCCCAGCTATTGTCTAGCGTGTCTGTACCGCTTGTCATTCCCACTAGCAACGTACGAGTGATCTCCATCCTTACGAACATTTAGCGGTGGCCCTACTTTTTATCTTTGGTTGCTGTGAGTCGGAATTGACTCGACGGCAGTGGGTCTGGTTTTCGGTTTGTGTATTTTGATAGGCTGGTTTCCCTGGGTGGCGCGTACAGTCAAGCACTCGACTAGTAGTCAAAAGGTTGGCAGTTCAAACCCACCCAGAGGCACCTTGGAAGACAAGCCTGGTGATCCGCTTCCCAAAGGTCTCAGCTTGAAACCCCTGTGGAGCAGTTCCACCCTGCACACGTGAGTGTGCACGTTTTGATAGGTGTGTGACGGTATCTGACTGCGGTTTTCATTTGCATTTGCCTGATGACTGGAGGCTTTGAACATCTTTTCATTGCTTATTTGTCCTCTCTGACTTCTTTGGTGAAATAACTCTTCATGTCTTTTACCCATTTTCTAATTGGACTGTTTGTTTTTTTGTTTTTAATGTTGCATTTCTTTTGTTTTTTTAACAGCTTTTTTGAGATATAATTCACAGAGCATATAATTCATCTATTTAAGGAGTACAATTTACAGTTTTTAGTATAGTCACAGAGTTTACAACTGTCACCGCAATCAATTTTAGAATGTTTTCATAAGGAAACCCTGTGCCCTTTAGCCATCCCTCCCAGTCCCCCACCACCCCACAGCCCTCAGCAACCATAAATATACATTCTGTTTCTACAGATTTGCCTATTCTGCACAGAAGTCAGGAGGAATAGACAAGAAATACATAAAGAAAAATCAGGTTTTCAGCTCAATATAACATTTACCTCATTGATGATTCTAGAAATAGTGCCTCTGACTGGATTTTGTAAAATCCTGAGATTTACTGAGTTTTGAGAATCCTTCATGTATTCTAGATGTTATTAGCACCTTGTCAGATATGTGATTTGCAAATGTCTTCTCTCAGTCATAGCTTGTGTTTTCATCCTCTTAACATTATTTCTCAAAGCAAAAGTACTTAATTTTGATGAAGTTGAGTTTATCAGTTTTTCCTTTTATGGACCGTGCCTTTGGTGTCAAGATTAAGAACTCATTGTCTAGCCCTAGATCCTGAAGAATTTGACCTATTTTGTTTCTCTAAAAGTTTTATAGCTTTACATTTTACGTTTAAGTTCATCATCCATTTGAGTTAATTTTTCTATAAGGTATGAGTTTAGGTCAAAGTTGTTTTTTTTTTTGTCATTTGCTCTAGCAGCATTTTTTGAAAAGGCTATCCTTCCTTTAGCACCTTTATGGAAAATCAGTTGGGCACATCCGTGTGGGTCTGTTTCTGGGATCTTTATTCTTTTCCGTTGATCTCTGTGTTATCCTTCCACCAGTTCCACACTGTCTTGATTAACGTAGCTGTACAGTACGTCTTAACATTGGATAGAGTGGTTCCTCCCACTTTATTCTTCTTTTTCAAGATTGTTTTATCTATTCTAGAGCCTTTCCATATAGATTAGAATAAGCTTTTGTATGTCTCCAAAAATCGTGTTGGGATTTTGATAGGAGTTTCATTAAACGTATAGATCAAGTTGGAGAGAGTAACCCTCTAATTTTAAAGTTCTCAGGGATTCTGTATGAGCTGTGAACATAATGCGGTGTGAGAGAGAGAAACCCATTTATAGTATAGATTGAGCATGGTGATATCCTGATTTTATTGTGGTAAAATATACCTAAGAAAACATTTGCCATTTCGACCAGTTTTGCATGAATAACTCATTGATATTAATTAATTCATCACGTTGTGCAACCATCACCACTATCCATTTCCAATTTCTTTTATCACCCTTCACAGGAATTCGGAGTCCCTGGGTGGTGCAAACAGTTAACGCTCTTGGCTGCTAACCAAAAGGTTGGAAGCTTGAGCTCACCCAGAGGCACCTCAGAAGGAAGCCCTGGCAATCTACATCTGAAAAAATCAGCCATTGAAAGCCTTGTGGTGCACAGTTCTACTCTAGCATACAGGGGGTTACTGTGAATTTGGAGTCAACTTGATGTCAACTGGTTTCTTTAATAGGAACTCAGTACTCCTTAAGCAATACTTTCCCACCTCTCCCTCCCACCCACCCCGGTAACCACTAATAAAATTTGGTCTGTATGCGTTTGTCTGTTCTAGATATTTCGTGTAAGTGGGATTTTATATCTTTTGTGTCTGACTTACTTCACTCAGCACAATGTTTTCATGGTTCATCCATGTTGTATGATGTATCAGAACTTTATTTCTCTTTATCACTGTATAATATTCCCTTGTATTTATATACCACATTTTATTTATCCATTTGTCTGATGGTGGACACTTGAGTTGTTTCCACGTTTTGGCTATTGTGAATAATGTTGCAGTGAACATTGATGTCCAAGTATCTGAGTCCATATTTCAATTCTTTCGGGTATATACCTAGGAATGGAATTGCTGGGTTGTGTGATAATTTCTATGTTTAACTTTTTGAGGAATTGACACATTATTTTCCACAGTGGCTACGCTGTTTTACAATCCCACCAGCAACGGATGAGGGTTCCAATTTCTTTACACTCCCACCGACACTTGTTAGTTCCTGTTTTTCTGATAATAGTCATCCTAGTGGACCTGAACCCGCATCTCATTGTGGTTTTGACTTGCGTTTACCTAATGACTAATGACATTGAGCATCTTTTCACATGCTTATTGGACATTTGTGTATCTTCTTTGGTGAAATGTCTATTCAAATCCTTTGCCCATTTTTTGATTGGATTGTTTGTCTTTTTGTTGGAGTCAAAGGAGTTCTTTATATATTGTGAATATTAAACCCTTATCAGATACATGGTTCCCAAATATTTTCTCTCAGTCTGTAGGTTGTCTCTTTTTGTTGATAAAGTCCTTTGATGCACAAAAGTTTTTAATTTTGATGAAGTCCTATTTATCTATTTTATCTTTTTTTTTTTTTACGCTTTTGGTGTTACTCGTAAGAATCCATACTAGGTCTGGAAGTATTGCCCCTATGTTTTGTTCTAAGAGTTTTATGGATTTAGTTCTTCAATCCATTTTGAGTTAATTTTTATATATGATATGAGGTGTGAGTCCAACTTCATTCTTTTGTATGTGGAAATCTAGTTTTCTCAGCACTGTTTATTGAAGAGACTGTTGTTTCCCCATCGGATGGACTTGGCACCATTGTTGAAAATCAGTTGGTCATAGATACCTGAGTTTATTTATGGACTCTCAATTCTATTCCATTGGTCTATGTGTCTGTCACTATATCAGTACTAGACTGTTTTGACTACTGTAGCTTTATACTATATTTTGAAATCTGGAACATTTGTGGATTTCTGATGGTCATTTATCTTCCAGACTTACATAGTCAAAAATCACAATCAGAGAAAAAAAGACATAGATGAGCTGTCATGTAGATACCTTCTTACAGAAAGTTACTAGTGTATCGTTTATGCTCTCTCATTGGTGATACAGACATAAAACTATGATGATTACATTTTATTAAAAAATTCACATGACAGAACATTCTGTGATCCATTTTTACTTCAGTTTTTTTTTTAAATTTTGTTGCCATTTTTTTTTTAGTCAAGCTCAACTAGTCTGGACAGTGTCTTGAATTGTGTCATTTAGTAGTTCTTGGCACTTTATTACCTGTGTTTATAAAATGCCTAGTTTTAGATCAAAGCCTTCCTACAGTAAAACTTCCCGTTTTGACACTTTTAATAAAACCTTAAATTCATCTTGCTTGGTCTGAATCAAAGGTACCATAATCTTATTATGGATATTTTCTGTTTTCATTCCAAAAATATTCAATAATAATGTACTTTGATACTTCACCAGTGTAAAATTGGTACTTACAGATCTATCAGTCTTTCCTTAGTTTCAGTGGAATGTCTGAAAAAGGATCTTTTCATAGATTTACATTAGCATTCAAATACTTTCCTGTAAATAAATACCACGATGGATCTGTAAGTTTAGACTGAGCAAGCAGTGTTTTCTGGAGCCTACAATATAGCAATAAACTGGATTCAGAAGAGGATGAGGAACGAAGGATGTCATTGCCAATGTCAGATGGATCTTGGCTAAAAGCAGAGAATACCAAAAAGATGTTTACCCTGTGTTTTATTGACTATGCAGAGGCATTCGACTGTGTGGATCATAACAAATTATGGATAACATTGCGAAGAATGGGAATTCCAGAAAACTTAACTGTGCTCCTGTGTAACCTGTATGTAGACCAAGAGGCAGTTGTTCAAACACAACAAGGGTATACTTTGTGGTTTAAAGTCAGGAAAGGTGTGCGTCAGGGTTGTATCCTTTCACCATACTTACTCAACCTGTATGCTAAGCAAATAATCCAAGAAACTAGACTATATGAAGAAGAACAGGGCATCAGGATTGGAGGAAGATTCATTAACAATATGCAGATGACACAACCTTGCTTCCTGAAAGGGAAGAGGACTTGAAGCACTTACTGATGAAGATCAAAGACTATAGCCTTCAGTATGGATTACACCTCAACATAAAGAAAACAAAAATCCTCACGAGTGGACCAATAAGCAACATCATGATAAACAGAGAAAAGATTGAAGTTGTTAAGGATTTCATTTTACTTGAATCCACAACACCCATGGAAGCAGCAGTCAGGAAATCAAAAGACGCATTGCACCGGGCAAGTCTGCTGCAAAAGAACTCTTTGGAGTGTTAAAAAGCAAAGATGTCACTTTGAGGACTAAGGTACATCTGACCTAAGCAATGATATTTTCACCAGCCTCCTATGCATGCAAAAGCTGGCAGTGAATAAGGAAGATGGAAGAGGAATTGAAGCCTTTGAATTATGATGTTGGTGAAGAATACTGTATACTGTGGACTGCCAGAAGGATGAACAAATCTGTCTAGGAAGAAGTACAGCCAGAATGCTCCTTAGAAGCGAGGATGGAGAGACTTCATCTCACGTACTTTGGACATGTTATCAGGAGGGACCAGACTCTGGAAAAGGACATCATGCTTGGTAAAGTGGAGGGTCAGTAAAAAAGAGGAAGACCCTCAATGAGATGGATTGACACAGTGGCTGCAACAATGGGTTCAACCATAGCAACGATTGTGAGGATGGCGCAGGACCAGGCAGTGTTTCGTTCTGTTGTACATAGGTTGCTATGAGTCGGAACCAACTTGACGGCACCCAATAACAATATAGCATTTAGGTTTCATTCAAGAATAACGTGGAAACTCACAAATTATGTAAACCAGATTCACCTTCATCCTTCCTTATTTCTTCCTCTGAACCCAGGCCTGCTTATTCTGGCTTTGAAAACTTCTTAAGCATGGTTGACTGGGTTATGTAATTGAGAATATTATGGGGAAGAAGAAAGCCCAACAAGATAAGTGAGCCATTTCATAGATGTGAAAATTTTAGTTTAATTCAGGGCTTCGGACCGGTTCATTCCATTCAAACCCCTGCTGAGAATTTGCATTTCTACCCCAGGTGATTCAAGATCCCCAGGTGATTCTTATGTATACTAAATTCTGAGAACCACTGCTTTACTAGTGGTTCTCGGAATTGGTCCTTAACTAGCAGTATTAGCATCGCCTGAGAACTTTTTGGAAGTACAAATTCTCAGCAGGCATTCGAACCCGAACCAGTTGGAGCCCTGGTTTAATTGTTCTTCGTGTTCTGTCTTATAGGTTGGTGACATCGTGATGGTGAAGGAGAATGAAACCTTTCCTTGTGACCTGATACTCCTTTCCAGCAACCGAGGAGATGGAACATGCCACGTTACAACAGCCAGCTTAGATGGAGAGTCGAGTCACAAAGTATTTATTTTGTATTTTATAATTCATTTGAAATTCCAGAACAATGTCTTAAATTTGTCTTTGGCATTGGAGGTGTGATCATATGCTTGTGTAACCACATAAACTTCACATCGTGCTTGAAAATTCCATGTTCTCAATGGTTACAATAAAAATCCTAGGGTGTTGTGCTGGCCAAAATTTTTCCTCTCTTTTGGTTCTCCCTATTTCCGACTTTACTGTTTCCACCCTCAATGTCTGTGACAGCCAACCATCATGTTAATAGAAATAATTTCAGTATTAACCTGTGTTATTTAGCTTATGTACCAAATTATGGATTTAATGAATGAATGCATTTTGAAGCCTTTCATTTTACTAGTCAAAATTAATGTCTTTACTAGCTGAGAATTATGTGAGATGCCACACACACTTCTAGATTTTGCCTGTTACTTCAGTGAGTGTAACTATTTTAATAAGTATTTTCTGAAATCATAATTAATTTCTTGCACTCAGTATGGAATTCTGTACTGGCAGCTGATTCTATAAAAGTTTTAAATCACAATCATAAAATAATAAAACACATCATTGTTAATTTTAAAATTTTATTATGTTAAAAATCTAGACATTTCCAAGGAGTTTGTGAAAATGAGCATAGCTCGGTGGATTCAACCATTTCTGGGGTATTAGCTCACAAAAATGCAGCCCTGAAACAGTGCTAAAGCAATACCTTCAGATATAGGCAATTTCTATGGGAAAGGGAAACTTTCTTGGCAAAAACGCCAAAGGAAATGCTAATCATTTATTGATAATTCATGATAACATTGTATAAAAGCCCCGAGGTTTTTTTTCCCACCTCAGAATTTACTTTTGCATTTCCCAAGAGAATTACCATTTTGCCATAGTAGATTATAAGCAACCGTACTTGGGTGGCAGGAAAATCCCTGGGTGATTCGTGTGTTTATTGTAATCTGCTGCTGTGGCTTCTCTGGAGCATGAAGGAGACTAAGTTCCCATAGTCACTGAGATTTAGTAACATTCACATCTGCCTGGTTGGCAACGGGGTGACTTTTGGACTTTGTCTTGTACTGTCAGGCTCAAATGTGTCAAGCATTGTAAACAGACGCCTTCGGTCCCTGAGGACGTCACTTTATTCAAGACAAAATTTTATGGCAGTCGACTTGTTCCAGAACTGAAAAATTTTAGAGTAGTTGTTCCATTTCAGATATTTTGTGTATTTGTATTTTGCATTTTAATTGAATTTTCTCTAACTTTATTTTTGTGCATTTGATTTGGCTTGAGGGACTGAAATTATGTGAGCCCTTTTCTTAAAAGCAGAGTGGGAGAGTGGATAGAGTTCAACAGACCTCAGTTGGGATCCTGAATAAGCCATTTACTGCTTGTATGGCCTGGTGCACGTTTTCTCAGCTCTCCTGGAGTTTTCACATCAGTTAAATGGGATAAACCTATCCTTCAGGGTTTTAATAATAATGTAATAATTTTATCCTTGTTAGGGTATAATTAGAAAATTTTCCGAAAGAGGGAAAGACGAGAGGAGGTTCCCAGATACATTCCTTCTTCACTGACCCTCATACACAAGACTTCCTGTCGTCTCTCTTCTGTCGGCAAAGCAGGTGTAGCTCTGGAGGCCACTGTTCGTGCTTATGAACACTGTCTTGGCCAGTTGTTCTCCAGATGTGCTCTGGGACAGCAGCTTCAGCATCACTGGGAACTTTAGAAATGTAATTCTTGGGCCCCGCCCAGACCTACTGAATCAGAAACTCTGGGATTGGGGCGCAGGAATCAGTGTTTTCACAGGGTCTTCAGGGGTTTCTGATGCTCACTCAGATTTGAGCACACTCTGGTCAGGGCCGAGTGAGCAGTTACATAGAAGCTTACACGCTGCTCCAACAGTGATGTGCGTGGACAGTTTGTTGCAGAGTTGTGAAAATTAAATGAAGTGATGCCTGTGTACACTCTCTGTCAATAGTAGGGCATTATATCGATGAAGAAGGAACATCTTAGCTCCTGGATTTGTTTCTGAATTGCCAGTCTTCACTCTGACTGATAAATTGAATTCTCTAGTTTTTAAATAGAATTATCAGTTGTGGCTTTTTGCCATATTGGTTTTAAAGGTGACAACATTAGGTGAGAAAGGAAGAATTAGAATTTTCTGGCACAGTAATAAATATAGAAATAGCAATAGTACTTTATGTTTCCATAACTTTTTAATATTTACAAACTTTTTATCATACACTGTCTTTCACACAGTAAACCAGTCATTGTCATTGGGCGTATTTGTATGCACAAAAAATTACACCTTGGTGCTGTCCTAGGAGAGACACTAGCTGCTGTGTTTGTGTTGATCGTTTTGGTTGTGAATTCCCATTTCTTGTCGACCTGTAGACTCACTATGCGGTTCAAGACACAAAGGGATTTCATACTGAAGAAGATATAGACAGGCTGCATGCTACAATTGAATGTGAGCAGCCTCAGCCCGACCTCTACAAGTAAGCAGAACCTTTCATTCCCTAAATACCTTTTGATCCCCTAAATATCGTGTCTGCTTTTCACCTTAAATAGTATAGCAACATGGTTGTTTGGAAAGAGAATGTTAATTACTGCTCAAAAATTAAGATGGGTCAAAAAATGTTACTTATATATTTTCATAACTAATTTATGCCATACCTGTTCCCACTGAGTCGATTCAGACTCATAGCGACCCCGTAGGACAGAGTAGAACTGCCCCATAGGGTTCCCAAGGAGCAGCTGGTGGATTCGAACTGCCGACCTTTTGGTTAGCAGCTGAGCTCTTAACCACTGTGCCACCAGGGCTTCACAGACTAGCTAGTAGGCTTCAAATCTGTAGCTTTTTATATAAATACCTGAAAAGGCTTAATGGAGCTAAATTTACTGAAGAAAAATTAGTTTTCATTATTTTGAGGAAGTAAGGTGTAAAACTGTGTGTTAAAGAAAACATTTAAGTCATGGGTATAATTAGAAAGTAAAAGAAGAAAACCCAGTGGCTGTCACGTCAGCTTTGACTCATGGTGACCGCATGTGTGTCAGAGTAGAACTGTGCACCGTAGGGTTTTTGGTGGCTGATTTTTCAGAGCTAGATCACCAGGCCTTTCTTCTGAGGCCCCTCTGAGTGGACTCAAACTGCCAGCCTTTTGGTTAGCAGCCCGGCACCTTAACCGTCTGCATCACCCTCTTTAAAAGAGTAAAAAAGAGGGAAATAAAGTAGGAATGGTTTAACCACAGACTGAATGTGTTTTTGAGTAAAGAACCACAATTTATAATAGCGCTCATCCCCTTCTTTAAAATAGGAAAACAAGTATGTAAAAAAAAAGAGTACTTCTGGTTTCTGCGTCGTTCATTTTGGCGCCGGCGTTTCGGTAATTTCACCCCGTCTTCTGTTGCCAGGTTTGTTGGCCGCATGAATGTCTACAGTGACCTCAGTGACCCTGTGGTCAGGTAAGGAGATGCACCTTCTTTTAAACATTTCTGGCAGTTTTGATCTGTATTATTAAATTAAAAGTTAATTCTTTTATTAGCAAGAGTTCTCTGTTGTTGCTGTTCCTATTAGGTTCTGCAAGAGAAATTCTACTTTTTCTGATTTTCTTTGAGCATACATCAGTACGTGTTAAAAAATCAACAATATTCATGAAAAATTTCTCTCACAAGATTCTGTTGAGTGTCTTTTAACAGGTTGATTCCAAGACAAAGCATATGGTACAGTTTCCTCCTGTTAGCAATACACTTTCTGAATGTATATAATCATATGCCTTCAACTATGAAGTTGAAAGTGTTTTTAATTTGAAGGCCATTTTATTGGAATATATTAATCTACTCATAGTTATCACTGGAACAAATTTTTGGCTTTAGATTACTTTCTAGGTTCAATAGAATATACCTCACAAAGGACATGTTTTAAGTTCACATCTACCTAAGAATATAACAAGCTATTGCCAGGTAATGAGGATGTATGGTTAATTCCCATCACAAGTTAGTGCTTGCACCTATTTAATCATGGAGGTTTCCATGACTGACCATATATGCTATAAATCCACAAGAAAATAGCAACCCATCTAAGACAGTACAGAATATGGGGGAATCCAGCACAACTTGTCCAAGGCAAGGTCATGGAAGCTCGATAGACACATCCAGATTCCCTGAGGGACTGAATTACTGGGCAGAGGGCTGTGGGGACCATGGTCTCGGGGAGTGTCTAGCTCAATTGGCATAACATAGTTTATGAAGAGAATGTTCTACAGTCTGCTTTGGAGAGTAGCTTCTGGGGTCTTATAAGTGTGAGTGGCCATCTAAGATACTCCACTGGTCTCACCCTTTGGGAGCAAGGGAGAATGAAGAGAACTAAAGCCCCAAGGGAAAGATTAGTCCAAAGGACTAATGGGCCACAACTACAATGGCCTCCACCAGACTGAGTCCAGTACAACTAGATGGTGCCGGGCTACCACCACTGACCACTGTGACAGGGATCACAACAGAGGGTCCCAGACAGAGCTAGAGAAAAATGTAGAACAAAATTCTAACTCAAAAAGAAGACCAGACTTTTACTGGCCTGACAGAGCTGGAGAAGCCCCGAGAGTATAGCCTTCGTTACCTCAGTGATGAAGTCACTCCAGAGAGTCACGCTTCATCCAAAGATTAGGCGGGCCTGTAAAACAAAACGAGACTAAGGGGGCACGCCAGCCCAGGGGCAAGGGCAAGAAGGCAGGAGGGGACAGGAAAGCTGGTAATGGGGAACCCAAGGTCGAGAAGGGAGCGTGTTGACATGTCGTGGGGTTGTCTGTTAACCAGTGTCATAAAACAGTATGTGTGCTAGCTGTTTAATGAGAAACTAGTTCTGTAAACTTTCATCTAAAGTACAATTTAAAAGAAAATAACAACCCATCAAATATCTAACTCTAACTACAATATAGTACCTCAAAACCAATCATTGATGCAGGATAGGTAATAATACTACTGTAATTCAGACTCACAATTTCTACATCTGCGAGCTGAGTCTGTACTTTCCCAGGCCTGTAGCTATTTTATCTGGACATTAATTTCAAGATCCTATTGGCATATTTGCTTTTAAGATATTTGAGTTGTACATTTTAGGAAATTGACTTTAAGTAGATTTTGAAGTTAGTACTTTTCCATAAAATCCACTTGTTAGAGATATTATTTTTCTTCTGATTTAAACAGTCTCCAAGTTGTTAATATACTAATGGATTAAAGAAAACACTTGCCCATAAGCAGAAAAAAAACTCTATGGAAAAGTATTGCAAAATGAACAGGCTCTGAAATATAACTCCCTGGGTCTTATCTCCTCGTAAGACTCCTGAAATTATTTGCTTTAGGGAAACAATTTGTGCACTTCTTGGCCTGCATGTTTATTTCATGATTTTCCATCAGCAGACTAGTAGGTGCTTTTCAGAATGAATGGAGGCTGTGTCTTGTCTTTACTGCATACACGTATTATTCCGAAGGTAAAGTCCTGCTTACTTTGGAGACATACTCTTGTGAGGATTAATTGGTGTTTGAAAGAATAAATAGGTTTAGGTTTATTCATATTGCTAGTGGGATGAATCTGAAACAGTCAACATTAAAGGCTTTTCGTGCTTTGTATTTAGAAGTTTATTGCTGAGCATCTCGGCAAGATAATTACTAATATATTTTGTATTTTGATACTAACTCTAATTTAGCTTCTTAAGTATTTATACTATTTGATAAACTTTTAATATTTGGGTTTTTTAAAAATGTTTATAAATTCATTGTTTGGACACCTATGAATTATGCATCCAAATTCACAGTCTATTCAGAGTGATATTGCTTTTTCCTCCTGTCCAAGCTAGAAGCAAAGCACTTTTTAAAGTAAATTATTTTTAGACTCCCCAGAGGCACTTTTTAAAAGGTTCATTTGTTTTCATGAGTACTTATGACACGAGTTATTATGAGTATGTTGTTAGCAGAAGCTGACAATACTTATAACACAACAGGACAACAAATATGCTGCCCCAAGGCTTCATTCTTAGTGACTGTCAGCCACACAAATGGAGCTTGAAACTATCCACCAGCCCTAGGTCATACATGTCAGTTTACGTATCTCAGAGGATAGTGCTCATCCTTGGAGCCGCCCCCACGCTTCCCTGGCTTCAGTGAGATGCAGTTCTCAACTGTATGGACCAAATACACTGTGCGTGTTTCATCCTTATGGCATCCAGTGGGCCTCTCCATGGCAGTAGGAAATTAACTACACGGATAAAGTAAACAATCAACGTTAGCAAAGAATTTCAACTCTTTCTACCCTCCAAAGAAATCATTATAGTGTTCTCAGTAGCAAAATTTGTAAATGTGAATTTTGCTTCTTATTTCTCTTTTACTGATTATCTTTCCAGGCCGTTAGGATCAGAAAATCTGCTTCTCAGAGGGGCCACGCTAAAGAACACTGAGAAGATCTTTGGTAAATGTTCCCATTAGTGAAATGTTAACAATAATAGTGACTAAAATTAAGGATACAGTAAGCAAAGTTAATATCCATAATAGTATCATGAGAGCATCTCTTTGTTCTTTGAGGTACTATAGACTTTATGGCAGAAATAATTTTCCCTAACTAAGGAAATTAGTACCAATGTGTAACCACTAAAGCAATGACATCTGTAAATATTGCATATTAAGTGCGTCAGAAACATACAGTTATTTTCATGAAAGGATTCATACAGTACAGTTCTGCAGGAAATTTCTTTTAATATCTATATTTCCTTGCTAGTATCTCTCGTTTCTGGTGGGTTATTTCTTATGTTTTAATTAAATGAGACAACTTTTAAAAAATACACAGTGTATCCCACTGTAAGAAGACCCAACATATTAAAATGTGAACTTAAAATACAGGTTGTTCTCATCGGCAGGGGAGTATTTCTTTAGCCTAAAGGAACCTTGTCATGTGACTCTTTTAATGCACAGTTAGTTTGTCTAGTAAAACTAAAAATATAATTCATCTAACAAAAATCCATTGTCATCCTAGCTGTCCAAAACGTACTATGTAAAGGCAAGATACGTTTGTTTTGTAACATCTGCTCTTCTCCTTTATAGGAGTTGCTATTTACACCGGCATGGAGACCAAGATGGCATTAAATTATCAGTCAAAATCCCAGAAACGGTCTGCTGTAGAAAAGTAAGGTTCGATACCCTATCGTTTGAATTGCGTAAAAATCTGCAACTTTAAAGTACATCAGACACAGTAGATACGAAAATATTTTCCTTTGGGGCTTATTGGCAATTTCTTCATGGTTTCTAGTTGTACAGCTGTTTAGTAACTGTTAAGCTAGTTATTTTGATCAACTTTATTTTATGATGAGTTAAAAAAAGCCATTTTTATTTTACTTTTTTATTGTTAATATTCTGTACACTTTAAATGCGTTTACTCTTAATAGCCCTTCCAAAGAATTTCTTAGTTTTGAAGTCAGTTGCAGACGGCCATAAAGTTCTTCCATAGTTTCATTAAAGATCAAAATAGGGTCACTTTTAACTCTGGGATTTGATGGAAACCACCATGTGTTTTCTGATATGGCTTTATTAAATTAAGCATTACCAGAGAGAACATAGTTGTCTTCTTACTACACAGTAAAATCTTTATGCTGAAAAATCAAGATGCTACTCAATATTTGTAAGAAAATCTGGCCTGGAATTTTGTTTTCTTTGCCTCTTGTTAAAGTGTATCCTTGACTTGAAATGGACAACTAACTGGTTTATAAATTATTTAATAAATATATGCTACTCAATGGTTTTTATTTAGGAAGACCGTAGGAGTGTATTTCTGTCTTTGTAAGTTGATCTTTAAATGTGGTCGCTGGGTCTCTGTTCTTCTATAACTGCATCAACTATGAAAATGGAGATTTAGTTTATCATAAGCAAGGATTCTATTTCTAGATGTCTACACATGACAAATAGGTTTCAAAAATCTGATTGGAAAATCAAATTTTCTTCACTAGGTCTGCTAAGACCTTGGTTAAGATTCAGCGTTTTCCTTATACCAAGAACATTCCCATCCGAGTGTTTGCTTTTCTCTCCCTCCCTCCCTTCCTTCCTTTTTTCCTTTCTTCCTTTTGTCTTTCCTTCTTTTGTAATGATTATCACTAAATTCTGAACTCACTGGCTGATGCTTAATGATAGAAGATAGTTTTTGGATGTTGTTTTAAATGACAGGATTCTAGACCGTTTAGAAATATTTGTCAGCAGTATAGTTATGTGCAGTTTTCTCTCCTGCTTGTAGAAACTTTCCCTTTACTTAGATCTCTCCCTTCTGGCCTCTAGAAGTACATTCCAGTGATCACTGGGTGAACTCAGATATAGATGAGCTTGTATTCTTACAGTGCCAAGTAGTGGATAGAAGCTCCCGTTAAAAAAATACTGTGCTAACTCTGTTTTTGTTGTTCCGTCACAAAGTGTTTATCTTGACATTTTTAAGAAAGAATGTGTACTGCCATTATTTACTCAGGGAGCAATAACCAAGTAATCCTTACTGTCTTTTTGTTGTAGATCGATGAATGTATTCCTCATTGTGTACCTCTGTATCCTGATCAGTAAAGCTCTGATAAATACTGTCCTGAAGTATGTATGGCAGAGCAAACCATTTCAAGACGAGCCGTGGTATAACCAGAAGACTCAGTCAGAAAGACAGAGGAACCTGGTACAAAAAATGACTCCTGAGATACCTTTTCCCTTTATCTTTGCAAAGATGTGGCCTGTAGACTATTGTTTGAAAATGTGGTAGAATAAAATTATAAAGCTGAAATTTGCTCCAGACAAAAAGAAGACTGATTCTGTCTCTGTCATAGAGATCTCGTGGATATATTACATGTGTTAGTTTCCTCCCTAGCTACAGTCACTGGTTGTTACTGCTGTCTTTCTTTAAGTATTCGTATATACAGTTCTGAAAAGTTACTGATTCACGTTGTAAATTCATGAGGACAGTATCTTCAACACTTTCGGTGTTTCCAGACCCCAGCACATGGCCTGTGTGTGTTGTTAGGTGCCATCGAGTCGATTCCGACTCGTAGCGACCTCATATGACAGAGTAGAACTGCCCCGTAGGGCTTTCTAGGCTGTCATCTTTATTGGAGCGGATAACCAGGTCTTTCTCCCATGGAGCCGGTGGATGGGTTTGAACTGCCAGCCTTTCAGGTACCAGCCAAGTGCTTAACCACGGAGGACCCACCAGGATTCCTTGCCTCCTATTTAGAGGGTGCTCAGTAAATGCTTATTAATTATTGTGAGGTAAATGGCACCTGTTTTGGGAAAGAAAAAAAAAAAAACCATTGCCATTGAGTTGATTCTGACTCATAGCGACCCTGTAGGACAGAGCAGAACTGTCCCATATAGTTTCCAAGGAGCTCCTGGTGGATTTGAACTGCCGACCTTTTGGTTAGCAGCCAAACTGTTAACCACTGCGCCACCAGGGTTTCCTATTTTGGTAAGTACGTGGAAAAAGGGAAGATTCTCAATTACTGGAAATTATGATAGGAATGGAGTTCCTGGGTGCTGCAAACGCCTAATGCACTTGGCTGCTAACCGAAAGGTTGGAGGTGCAAGTCCACGCAGAGGTGTCTCGGAAGAAAGGCCTGGCAGTCTACTTCCGAAAGATCAGCAATTAAAAGCCGTATGGAGCACAGTTCTACTCTGACACACGTGGGGTCGCCACGAATGGGAATCAACTCAGTGGCAACTGGTTTTTTATGGTGAGAATAGGTTTCATTTTTTCTGTAGGGAGATGTCGGTTCAGTTATTCGTGTTTGTCAAAATTATTTTTCCCAGACGAGCGTGTAGAATGATTTGATTGAACCTCCCTGTACTTAATACAGTGCACCTCTAGCTACTGTCGTTTAGCCCCGACCCCGGCTGTGTGCAGACCTAGGCAGCGTCTCGGATGCTTTGTGTGTGTCAGTTGGAGCTGTCCTACCTGTGTGGCCTGCGGGCACATCCCTACACGTGGAGATTTCCAGGAGTTAAACTATGGATGCAACCAGAGATAAGAACAAAACTGTACAAAAAGGTCATTTTTACCAGATGTTGGGGAGAGGGCATCATGTAGGTTATTACTGTATAACTACTGTAATTTGTCCAAGTCACAGTAAATTCAGGAATACTCAAAATACCGGATCTCCATTAGCTGTAGGTTAGAGTCATTTCCTGCCTCTTAACAGTGCGCTTGTTTTCATGCGTAATTTCATCTTGACCCCATTGACTGAACAGACGTGCTAGTCAAGCTCTTGGCTGTTGGCAGATCATGATGGAAAATCCGGGGGAAGCCTGTGGCTGCTGCCAGCATGGAGTAATCCTTACCTTTGGGTTTGGAAACGCTCCTATTTAAAAATACCAGCTGTGTTATTCACACCTGACTTGAGTTGTGTCAGTGATCACGGTGGTGCTTTTGCTCCCACCTGGTAGATGACGTGATCCCTTGTTGGTCATTGTTGAGCTGCTGCTCTTTGTTTCTTTGCAGTTCCTCAGAGCTTTCACGGATTTCCTGGCCTTCATGGTCCTCTTCAACTACATCATCCCCGTGTCCATGTACGTCACCGTAGAAATGCAGAAATTTTTCGGCTCTTATTTCATCACTTGGGATGAAGAAATGTTTGATGAAGAAGCAGGGGAAGGGCCTCTGGTTAACACGTCTGATTTAAATGAAGAATTGGGACAGGTCAGTGTCTCCTGAACTGTCTTCTGTGACTTACTAAAAACGTGCGTCGGCCCCTGTTAGGTTTCCAGGTGTCCAGATTCTAAACGATTAATATTAGACGGGTAGATCATCCAAAGGGTTAAATGAAATTTCGGCTTTAACTCACACATGTAGATATAACCTATAACTGGTGAAAGGCAACAAAAATGTTGTTTTTTTAAACTTTATTTCTGTAACAACTGGTAGTGCTTTTATATTTACAGTTTTTGCAAAATTAATCACATTAACTGATTGATATAAGCTAAGCCCTGGCTTTCCAAGCGCGCTCGTTCTGGGTTGTAATGGTGTGAATTAAGGGCCGAAGGGGTGAGTGAACTACCATTTATTGAGTTCCCGCTTAATAGGCATGGTACTAGGCTTTCATAAATGATATCTTATTTAACTCTCACTGCAAGTCAATTATCCTCATTTTTAAAGATGAGCAAGCTGAGAGTTAGGAGAGCTGACATAGCTTGCTGGCTTGGTGTATTGCAGAGAGCGCAATACACTTACTTCACATCCTACTCTTCACTTGCAACTGTGTGACCTCAGGCAAGTTACCTACTGGCTCTGCACCTGGAGTTCTTTAACTTATAAAATGGGGATGATAACATATAGGTGCCTCGCAAGATTACTGTCAGGATTTGGTAAGATAGTGTATGTGAACTGCCCGTCACGGTGTCTGATGTCTTCACCAAGAATGGAAGTCACTGCTGGCATTACTGCCACCAGCCTGAGCCCCACACCCTCCTGCTGTCCAGAGTCACGCGGCACGAAGCACCAGAGCCGGCCTTCTAACGTAGATCTGTTTGACTTCAAACCCGCAGCCATGTCATTTGTGAGAACTGAGGAAAGCCTGGTTACTGTGTGAGGAACTGAAGCGTCACCTGCTCTAACGCTGGCCGTTTAGGCTTTTGTTCTTCTAAAGCGCGAGCCCTCCTACCATCCCTCTGAGCCACGTGCTTTTCCCAGCATCTGTGCTCCAGGAGAGGACATTCGGCAAAATGGTTATTTTTTTTTTAAACAGGAAGAAATTTTAAGAAGTATTTTTACAAACAGTCATTTTAGACTGGTAGCTAAGATTCCTTCCCTCCTCTCTCCCAAACAGTAGTCTGTTATTACACTAGTAGACTCTAAATACTGCATTTATCTGCGTCAGGTCAAGAAGAACTGTTACTACAAAATTGTATTTGTGTTTGCTGATGATTTTGACTTTTTTAATAATCCCCCTAGCTAGGGTCCATTCCATGCCCTTCCAGGTGTGTATATTGTTTAGTTAACAGTATACACACAAGGCATAATTAGTTGTTCAGTAGTAAAATGTTTTTTTCCTTAGAGTATTGTGTATCCTTTGTAACAACACGTGGTACATTGTGTGTATTCCTGAGAATTTCATAGAGGGAAGTTTTATTTTTTTCTGTAACAAGAAAAATTTCCAGCGGTATTCCATACAGCAGATTTCTTCTCCCTCCCCTCATCCAGTCCATCTCTCTGAAGTTCACTGTAACAGAGTTTGATTTATATCATACTTTCATGACCAAAAGAAGGCCTGCGTTCAGGAGACTCACTCACTCACATAGACACAGAGCGCGCGGTGGATCGGTTAGTATCGGTGACGCACTGAGCTCAGAGATTGATGAACATACCCAGAAATTAAAGGTTTCATCTGACTGCTAGATTGATGTGGGTGAGACTCTTTTCCCAATTTAATTTATGCAGGATAATAGATGAGTTCCTTTGGAAGGTGAAGTAGGAATTCACCTACCACTCAAGTTTCCATGCCTATGGCTGAAAATCTACCTTTTATTGAGGCCCTGTGCAAAGCACTTGGCACCCATGATTTTATGTTGGCCTGTCTACAGCCCCCAGACGACAGTATCATTGCCTCCATTTTTCAGATGAGAAACTGAGGCCCAGAGAAATCACACCAACTACTTCACCTAGTAAACAGCAGAGGCATTGCTCAGTTCCGCGAGGCAGCGCCTTCCTACTGAGCCCTGTTCTGTCTCCCTGATGCTGAGTACATTTGAATGTGTCCTGCTCTTTAAATTCAGTACAGCAACAAGTAGTTGAGCAAGCAGACTATGCGCTGTGTGAGGACTATCTTTTCATCTGATGTCAGAGAATGATACCATCGTTAACATTTGACTTCGCAGCTGATAATTTCAAAGACTTTTACAAGCTTATTTAATAGTAACGAAACAAGCAATAATTTGTCTCTGAGTCCCCCTAAATAGCAAAATTGATTTGATCGCTGTCCAGAGTTGCCAAGCCTTTGTTTCCTCATCTGTAAAACTGGGATAATAACATGGTTGATGTGAGGATTAAATGAAGTAATGCACAGTCCCAGGGACATACTAAGTGCCGAGTAAATGTTCTTTATAATTATTGTTTATTATTAGGGAGCCCTGGTGGCACCGTGGAAGAGCTCAGGCTGATAACCAAAAGGTCAGCAGCTGAAATCCACCAGCTGCCCCTTGGAAACCCGATGGGGCAGTTCTGCTCTATCCTATAGGGTCGCTATGAGTCGGAACCTACTTGACAGCAGTGGGTTTGTTTTTGTTTTTTTTTTTTTTATTTATTAGTAGCAGTAGTAGTTATGCTCATGGTTCCCAGAAACATACCACCTATTTAACAATAGGTAAGCAAGATGATGGAGCCCGGGAGGTGCACTGGCTAAGTCAGCAGTTTGAATCCACCAGCCGCTCCCTGGAAACCCTGTGGGGCAGTTCTACTCTGTCCTATAGGGTTGCTTACCTCAACAGTAATGAGTTTGTTTTTTGTTTTTTTTTTTAAGCAAGATGATAAATCAGTATTTATTACTTTGCTGTTATCCATTTTACCCTTTTCAAAAACTGATTTTAGGATTTAATAATATTTTATTGTAAGTTACATCAAGTCTTATGAAAGTAAGAAAAGTTATATGAGTGATTTCTCAAATGTTCCTTGATCTGACTCAGAGTAAGTATTTAAAAAAAAAAAAAAAAAAAGCAATTTGCCGTCAGCTCAATTCTGACTCCTGGCAACCCCACGGGTGTCGGGATGGGGTTTTCAGTGGCTATGCTCTTTCAGAAGTAGGTTGCCAGGCCTTTTTTTCTAGGTACCCCTGGGTGGTTTCAAGTGCCAGCTTTTCAGTTAGTAGCTGAGCACTTGGCTGTGCGCCATCCAGAGCTCCGAGCGCAAGTACATGAATTCCTTGCTACTACAGGAGCTCCAGATACTCGGGGGCAGGCTTGTTCTAGAGGAGAGACACACTGAGACATTAAGTGTTATTGTTGATTCTCACCTTTAAAGAACTCTAATGAAGAATATACTGTATTAGAGTAAGAAATAGTAATTAAGAATGTTGTATTCATTCACATTATTAAATATCTAGATCCCGGAAAGAGGCTGGCTGAGTTGACTGGCAAGTATGTGCACGGCAGGGTTTTTTTTTTTTTTTTTAAAAACATATTTTCGGGACAACATTGCTGTGTATTTATAATGTATTTGTTACAATCAAGCACACCTTAGAAAAGACCTTTTTGCTGTGGGCTTTATAAGACAAAAAAGAACATATTCCTGAGAGACCTAAGTAAGAAAATGAGCGCTGTAAAATATGCTGGCTGGTTTCTTTACAGCTCTTTTCTGCTTCCCCCGTTTCTTTACTTTATTGTTATTGTTTTAACTCTAACTCTCCTTTCTAGTCAATAGTTAGTGATGTGTGCGGGGAAGCACAGAGCCATCGACTCAAGGAAAGATACAGGTGGAGACATGGGACTTCCCTCCCTGACCCAGCCACACCTGCGTCTCCCTCAGGGACGCATCTGTCCCTGACAGTGGTACCAGCTGACCTAGGGTTACAAGAAGGCATGTTGCACTCCTGACATAAACCTCAAAATATTAGGATGCTTTCTAGAATTCCTTTCAAATATTTATGATAACTGTGTGACCTGTGAGTTTATCTAAATTTAGAATTTGAAACTAGTTGTATTTTCAATACTTTTCACAGTTTTCTATCTGAAATTCGTGTCCTTTTGTTTGAATTCTGCCTTCTAAACCTAAAGTGATATTGTGCCTCCAAGACTTTATAGAAGAAGTTCATCCTATCTCTATCCTTGATTTTTTTTTATAAATAAGATTCGGGACAAGCCCCCCTCAATATTCATCTTTCCAAACAAATAGAACACTGACTGGTTCTATCAGTTTTTTATTTGTCTGGTAGGGGGAGAGATGGACGTGGGGGTAAATGGTCACATTTTTTTCTTTGCTCAGGATCCAGAGAAAAGTAAAGCCATCGCCACCATGACAAGAGCAACCCCCCCTCCCCTATTCTCCTGAATTCACCTCTTGCAGAGGGTGCTGGGTAGTATTAGAAGGTGGCAAAAAGTCTGAATTATCCAGCCCACTTACCGTTTATCCTGTTGAAGTAGTGCGTTTGTGGTAAAACCGTTACAAATCCATTCCATATATTAAAAAAAATTAATGTTAGGGAAAAAACATGACTGCTCTGATACTCTGAATCAGAGAGCCTCCACTTCTCTCTCTTCAGGGAAGGATAAAGTTAGCTCCTCGCAGAACATCCTCCTAACTCTTGATCATGTTGTGTTTCGTAGGTGGAGTACGTCTTCACTGATAAAACCGGCACTCTCACGGAAAACAACATGGAATTTAAAGAATGCTGTGTTGAAGGCCACGTCTACGTGCCTCACGTCATCTGTAATGGACAGGTCCTCCCGGACTCTTCAGGAATAGATATGATTGACTCTTCTCCAGGAGTCAGTGGAAGGGTACGTTAGTTCCAGTTCTCCTAAAGAAGACGTGTTCCCTTCAGAGGGACCTAAGTGTCAGCCGTTGCACTGTTGACATTTGCTGACTCTCAGTTGGGCAGGCCATGCATTGTTGGTTCACAAAAACAGATTGGTACTTACCTTTTATGGTGGGTATCCAGGAAAGATACTAATCTTCTGTGTGACTTCAGTGAGAAAAATTGTAAAATGCCACAATATTTGAAGATATTTCCCTTAGGATTTCATGGCTAACATTCAGAGTGAATCTGACCAGCTAGAAGTGACTCTTAAAAATCTGGTAAAGCAAGGAAAATAGTTGCTAAGAGTAAAATTGTTGTGCACCACACACAAACACCCGCGCGTGTGCGCACACACACACACGCACGCATGCACACACACGCACACACACTCGCGCACATACACACACACACCCCCCCAAGTGCTGTGCCTCCAGGTCTCAGCAGCCCTGGCTGGAGGCTCTTCTCTTCCCCAGTGGTTGGCTGGGGAACCATTCCAGAGCGTGCGCTCACTGCCAGCCTTGTGTCAAGACCTCAGGTGTGCTGCGGTCCTCTAAGAGCTGAGGGTGGCCTCGGTTTAGCTGTGTTGTGTGGTGACACCCTCTCATTACCAAACTGTACCTTATCCCCTATACGTATACTTCAGTTGATTTCATTGTAGAAAACTGCCATTTTACAACAAAGATTCCTAAATGAGAAAGTAGGTTATTTATGTGGTCATAGTAAAACATATCACAGTAGAACCATATTCTTTTATTACTTACTGTGACTGCCCTACTTGATATGCTTGATGTAAGTCAGGTCCTCCTTTGTGACCTTTACAGCCAGTGCTTCTCAACCTGGATGCACAATAGAATCAGCAGGGCAAGCTTTTAAACCCGGTGGAATCCGTACATCAGTATTCTTAAAGCCCCCAGGAGATTCCAGTATTCAGCCAAGGTTGAAAAAGACTACTACTTTATAAGTTCCATTCAGAGGCAGTAGAATGATTAGATCAGCTGAACTAGAAAGAGAAGAATTAGAATCTTTGCTCTGACATATACTGGTTTTGTGATCTTGAATAAATCACTTAACCTTTTAATTTCTTCAGCTGCAAAACTGGAATAATAGCTTCTGTTTCATAGGTTGTTTTAAGATTGAATTTTATGATGTATGGAATGTGTCAGGTACCTAGAAGGTTCTTTATAAATATCTAGTGTAATATATATTGTTGTTAGGAGACTATCACTATAATATGATCCTTCAGGACAGTGATATAACTAGAGTCCTGGGTTTGTATAAGTATTTTGTATTTAGTGTACTTACATGACTCAAAGTCTCTCTTTACTGTTACTTTCCTAAATATTTAGCAGTTGTTTGCTGTTTTTGAGCACCCTTGAAGCTATGCGTTTGCAGTTCCTAAAAATATCACTACTGAATAAAACACTCCTCTATTTCAGTCTTCATAGTCCCTTAATCTTAATTACCATAGAAGTACTCAGGAATGAAGAAAAGCTGTCATTAGATTCTACTTTATAAACTACCAAAGGCAAAACTGATAATTCCCGGCTCCTAGATATTACACATCACTGCTTTGTGCTGTTTCTTGTCTTTTGTTTATTTTCCTTCTATTTTAAGAAAATATGCTGTAGATTTTTTTTTTTTTTTTTTAACTGCACTTTTGTAGGAGCGAGAAGAGCTATTCTTTCGGGCTCTCTGTTTGTGCCACACGGTCCAGGTGAAGGATGACGATAATGTGGACGGACCTAGGAAATCCCCAGACTCTGGAAAATCTTGTGTGTACATATCAGCATCACCTGATGAAGTGGCGCTCGTCGAAGGTGTTCAGAGGTATGCCTTTCGGCTTCATATCTAGGTTTTAGAATTTGAGAGAGTTGCTAATTATTGGACTGGAGAGTCCATTTTCAACTCCAAAACCACGCACTCACACTTTGAAATGTTCTTAGCTGATCCCACTGTATGCTGTGTTGTGTTTGTTAAAAAGAAGTGGCTGGGGCTAAACGGTAGCTGTCTTTTGTACTCATTACTGTTCTCTTGATTTCCTTATTCTTTGAGATGGGGGGTGTCCCTCCTCAAAACCAGGTGGTATCGATTTGTAAGAACAGGCTTGTCCCTAGTCGTAAGATTCTTTATCATTGTCTTTTTGTGGGTATTTTTTCCTCCTAACGTCTGCAAGAATTTGATTAGAGGTCATTCCAAATAACGATAGGTTTTTAAAGATGGAAACAATTTTAGACATCATTTAATACAAATCTTCCTGTTACAGCTTAGAAATTGAGGCCCAGAGAGATGGAGCAACTTTCCCAAAGTTATACAACTTGAATGGAGATTAAAACTGGAGTTTCATACTCTCAGCTTCATTTTCTGCACATTATATCATCTTAACTCTATGGAGCCTTTTTGCATGCTCCTTCAAGACCTTTTTACTGGGAATTCTCGCTGTCTCATGAGATACGGCATTTTAAGCAGACACTTGGAAAAATACTTTAAATATTGCAGACATGTCGTAATTTCAAGTCAGGGAAATGTTTTTCAAATTCTCACAGCTTGTGATTTTTATTTAATACTTAAGGTACTAAATCTCCCCTCTTCACTGCCATCGATAAGTAGATATTGCCTTCAAGGACTGAATGATTGATGAGAAAAGCGTTTCAACACCTTTTACGTAGTTTGTTGTTGTTGTTAGGTGCCGTCGAGTCGGTTCCAACTCGTAGCAACCCCGTGTACAACAGAACAAAACACTGCCCGGTCCCGCGCCATCCTCACAGTCGTTGTTGTGCTTGAGCCCATTGTTGCAGCCACTGTGTCAATCCATCTCATTGAGTATCTTCCTCTTTTTCACTGACCCTCTACTTTACCAAGCATGATGTCCTTCTCCAGGGACTGATCCCTCCTGATAATGGGTCCAAAGTACATGAGACAAAGTCTCGTCATCCTTGCTTCTAGGGAGCATTCTGGCTGTACTTCTTTCAAGACAGATTTGTTTGTTCTTTTGTCAGTCCATGTAATTAGAACATTTTTATTGTTGACTAAACAACTGTATTTTTCCTATGCAATTTGAATATTGACATTAGATATTTATATCACTACTGACTTTTCTTAAATGGCCGAAACATTTAAATCCAAACCTACCTAGGTAAGAGTTCTCAAAGCTAAATTTATCTTCTTGGAAAACAGGTACTCAGAAATTAAATTGCATTTCGGTCGTAGATATTAGAAGTTAGGAAGGCCGTTCCTACCCATCATTTTAGACTCACTTTAAGTATCAGCATTTCCAAGAAGCCTTTCCTTCAGCCTGTCAGCTTCTCCCTGGGTTAGAAAGACACCCTCTCCCTGTGTTCATACCTTCATGCCTTTATGGATACAGATTGTATTGAAATGGTGGGTTTCTGTCTCCCCATTCATCTGTAAGCTTCTCGAGTGCAGAAGTCATGCCTTTTTTCCTTCGTTTTCCCAGCACTTAACCACACAGCGCCTGAGGTGTATGAAGTTCTCAGAAGTGGTGGTGGAGGAGGCTGTTGGTACAGATTAGGTGTTTGACAGATGTTTATTGCACTGACTTCCTGCTCGGGGCCTCAGTTTTCTCTTCAGTAAAGTGAGAGGTTGGTCTGGAGGTAGACCATCTGTAAGGGGCCTTCTACTGACATTGTGTTTTTTTCTGCTAAAAACAACAAAATAATCAACAAATAATGATGTCAGTAGAAGTAGGGATTGCAATCCAGAGAACTGCTACCGTCTTTCTGAAAATCATTAATACTTATCAATAACAAAGTTGGAAATTTTGTTGACTTTTGGAGAATTCTTTGAGATGTTGAATAAATTCAGTATTTTAATTTTTTAATTCATGATGTAGTTTACAACCTCTGTTTTACTGCAAGTATTTCTTTTTTAAAAAGAAAGCTTTACTAAAACATAAAACAGGGAAGTTCTATTAAAGAGGAATATCTGAATTTCACATTAATCCCTGAATTTGCTTTCTCATTTGCAGACTTGGTTTTACATATCTAAGGCTAAAAGACAATTATATGGAGATATTAAATAGGGACAATGACATTGAAAGGTACGTATAGTGTACATTAAATTGTGATCATAATAAACAACAGTCTTTACAAAATTTTCTCCTTGGGGCAAAAAAATTCTCTACCCTCCTCCCACAACTCACTCCCTTTTCTTCCCAGAAATAACCCCAAGAATGTCACCGAAACGTTCTGAAGAATTTTCACAGTTGGGCAGTTGGAGGAGAAGTTGGTTTGAGGGTATTTCAGGAGTATTTCCCACCGATACTGTTTTCCTTGGAGGTGTAAATTGGTATTCAGTGGGCGGTGGGAGGAGGAGTTTGATCAGCAAATATATTTTGGGTTAAGGCATCTAAAAGTGTTGTTTTTTTTTTTTTTTTAATAACTGCAGGAGTTCTCAGAGCTTTAATATGTTCTGACACTCTGCAGACCACCCCTTGACTCTCCGAGAGGGGAATGAAGTAGACAGCCTTCCCCAGTGTGCGCCCCTGACATTGCATTTTTAGAGCAGTTAGCATTCCAGGGAACAGAGTGTTCTGTAGACAACAATCTGAGAAATTATTTGAATAACCAACTTGAGATTGAATTGTTTTACTTTTTATATCTGTAGTGACCTAATAACCTTTTTTTAAAATTGTACTTTGGATGAAAGTTTACAGAGCAGATTACTTTCTCATTGAACAGTTAATACACGTATTGTTGTGTGACATTAGTTGCCAACTCCATGATGACATGTCAACACTCTGCCCTTCTCAGCCTTAGGTTCCCCATTACCAGCTTTCCTGTCCCCTCCTGCCTTCTCGTCCTTGTCTTGGTCTGGTGTGCCTGTCTAATCTTTGGCTGAAGGGTGAACCTCAGGAGTGATTGCATTACTGAGTTAGAAGGGTGTCCAGGGGCCATACTCTCGGGGTTTCTCCAGTCTCTGTCAGACCAGTAATTCTAGTTTAGTGACCTCATACTTTTGATTTTTAGGGATTGTCTCAGTTTCCAATTTCTGGTCCCACAGACAAATGACATATCCTGAGTTTTGCTTCAGAAGATAGAATAAGTCATCTTTCCTTTATAAAAAAATATGCAGTAATGGATAGGAAAAGACAGGTGAAAAGAACATCAGATTTGGTTGCGACTGCCTCAGAAAAACTGGATTTTAAAATTTTGTTCTGAGAAAAAAGAGTTAACTCCTGGGTAAATGCAAATAGAGTGAACTCTTGACTACAGAACATCTCTGCCAGGCCTTAAATCACAGACGGAGTTTTCCCTCAAGCACTGCAGAGTCCCAGGTAGTTAGCGGTACCACCAGGAATGGAACTTTGGAATCACCCCTTGGGCAAGGCAATAGAGACATGATTGCTGTCGCTGTCTGTAAGTGGGACTTGTGATTTTAAACTGAAAAAGGGTAGATTAAATCACTCTTGGGAAACCCTAAAGCACACCACAGTGCTGCTAAGGTATTTATAGGGGAGCCTTTTAGCAGCTGGAAGTTCAACAGCTTCATAAGCCACGCCTGAGGTTCCTGGCTGGCCTCTTTGGGCTCTCGCGGGTTTTCAGAGGTAGCATTAGGGATTGCCGAACTATTCTCAGTGTGTCAAATGCCAGACAGAAATTGAGTCTGCTGATAATAAGACTGTCCAAGCTGACTAAAATACCAGTTTTCTTCGCCTTTTGCTGTGATTCTTTTTTTTTTTTTTATCAACTTAGGGGTAACACCAGTTCCTTCACAGGAATTAAAAGCTCTGATACAACTTTGTAAGTCTATGATTAACAGAATTCTTAAAAATGAATCAATACATAACAAATGCAGTTTGTTTGGTAAACAGACTCTTTTAAAACACACAGCCTGGTTTGAGTGTGATTGGGTGAATATAAACAAAACAACGAAGGGTCTTTAGCTCTGAAAAGATTCCGAGCCTGTGCATCAATCTCAGTCATGTCCCATGATAGAAAGTCAGCACAAACCCCGAGTAGGAGAACTGCTGGCATCACATAAAATAAGTCAGTGTTTGGGCATCTTTAAAATGCAGACTTTTTGATCATGTCAGTGGAGGAAAATACCATATATCCAGATTCCTTTGTTCAGAGAGCTGCTTTATATCATTGACAAATGGGAAGAGATACAGTATACAGTAGTACATGGAGATAGTTTTCAAGGACTATATACGAGGGAGAGATAACTGTTGTACCCATTCCACTGCTTTCTTGGGAAAATTTTGGTCCACATTATGTGGCTTGATAATTATCCAGATTAATAATATACAGAGCCAAATATGTATTAAATTTTTTACAAATTTCTTTTTCAGGTTTGAATTGTTGGAAATTTTGAGTTTTGACTCAGTAAGAAGGAGAATGAGTGTCATTGTAAAATCTGCTACAGGTAGAAATTTCTTTTTGATTCCTTAAACTGTATGCTGTGGTTGTGTTTTATTCTTACGGTTAAATTCTATAGGGGCTTTAAGGATTACCATGCTTTTTTTAAATAAAATATTGATATACTCTTCTATTATATTAATTTTTTTTTATAAAAGTAAAGCATTTTTAAAAATGTTTAGTAATGAATACTAGGCTAAACATCTAACACACTTTCTTTGTAAAACCTCTTAGTATTGATTTGGGATAATTTCACTTTTGAAAATTTTACATTTATGAATATCCTCATTACTTTTCTCTCAATATATCTAAATAATATAGAACTTTTTAAATAACCATTTTTTTAGAACAGATTGTGTAGGTTTGCAGTATACATATTCAAAATTCTAAATAGAATGGGCCTTGCGGATTGGTTGGTCACTATAATAATGTATCTTCGTCAGAGAACAACAAATTCTGGTTTGTTCTTTAGAATATTGAAATGATAACTGGTGGAAGTACACAAATCAAATCCCTTTAACAACAATAATTTCTTCATCGAATTTTGTTTGTAAATTACCATGTAGATTGAAGAACTCTATAGTTCAGGTTTTATATACACTCCTTTTACAGTCTTGAACTCTGTGGTTCTCCGTGTTGTATCCAGGTCTCCTCTGCCCCGGGTGTTGCATCCCGGTCTCCTCTGTCCCGGGTGTTGCGTCCAGGTCTCCTCTGTCCCGG